ACTATCACTCTTTTCAGATAGGTTCATTAAATTTTTCTAGACAATAAATCAATGCATATAATTTATTTTAAAATTATTATAGGTACTTATAGTTATGTTATATTTTGTATCATTAAGTATACCTAGGGTACTGTTATTTAGCTAAAATAAAATGTAGTAATATTATGTCTAGGATTACTTCATAATTTATTAAAAAAATTAATTTTAGACTTTTCCTAGTCTTGTAAAATATACTTATCTTGTTAATAAAACCTCAATTTTTTTGAAATTTTAATCCTAAGATATTAGTTCCAATAGTTTCATGTTTATTAAATTTATTTTTCAATTAAAATAATATAATTTTTGTACGTAATACATATTTTTGTGTGTTTTATTTTAGTCTAATACCTATATACATTATGCGCTTTAAATTAAACTTGATAGTAAGTGTATGTGTAATTCATGAATTTATTTCATTTTGTTTTTCATACATTTTATAAGTGCTGCAAATTGTATTGCGATTATCATATGAATATTTTTTTTAAAAGAAGTGCATACATAATTTCTTATATTAGGTACTATTTATACTTAAATTCAGTTAAACATTTAAATTATTAGGTATCTGATAAAATTGTATGCATTATTCTCTAGAATATAAATATATTAAATTAATTATTTAGTACTGCACTACTGCAGCGTAATAGTGTTATAGGAACACCATACCCTTAACTGGTGTAACCACTTAATTTTTATATTATACTAATAACTAATGAGTAATGAGTTTAGTATTTTTTTTAAATCTAGCAGGTATACGTTGTTTATGTTATTTAATTGGCGAAAAGTGTGAATATTGAAAGAGCAACTCGTAACACGCGCTTGCACGTGGCTTAGCACGTGCCCTAAACGGTTACACGTGTTACAGTTTAAATAAAATAACAATCTAATAGAAACTCGAACTCATTTATTTATTTTAAAATAACATTACATATAGTGGTAGGATACCTACTTTAGCATATGAATAAAATATTGAACTCAAATTAAATTAATGAAAATAATAAGCAAATTTTGAATTTTTTAAACCGCAGTTTATAATAAAACTATAACTATAATTTTGTATAATTGAAATTGACCTTTTCTGGTTTTTATTATAAAAATACTTCTACTTTTAAATTTATTGAGTTTAAATTTTATTTATTATGTAGGTCTACCGTATCTATATAACAAAGACGTCTATATAGGTACCTATATTTAACCTAAATAGGTTAAAATAATAATTATATTATAAATTATACGAATATATTCATCAAAGAAGTAATGATATTTTTAAATATGGTTTTAGAATTTATATATATATTTATAATTGTTACATAGTTACATAAGTACAAAATGCATTTTATTTATATTATGAACAGTGTTGTTTGTGACGACATGACGTGACGCTTAAGAACAGCTAGCGAATCATTGATTTGTTTTCTGCTGTTACCCCTCTGGGAAATAAAGCACCTGTTTACGAAGCACAAAATGTATAGTGTAGAGCATAAGGTAAAGAGAGAGGGCGAGAGAGAGAATTCGATGTTAAACAAATACGTCTGTTTGTTAAGTGTATAGTTTTCAAATTTTAAAAGTATAAAATTATGTACCGTATATTTTGTATTTATATTAAAATTCAAGTGGTAAGTGTATACTAGCTGTATAGGCATGGGACAAATAAATAGACAACAAGTTTTGACATTTATAAATATTTTATTTTTTATAACATTTAATTACATTTATTTTGCATAAAGTTGTGCATTTTATATTTTTATTTAGAAATGATTATTTATAGATTCTAAGCTGAGCTATAAGTGTATTGATTTTATAAATCACATTTTATGATGTATTTATTACAACATTTTTGAGGAAGAAAAATGCTTTAATGCCATTTTCGTATAGATATTTAAAGTTAAAATTTCGTCAAGAATAGATATTTAAATGAATAATATTGTAGTTTCTATAATGATTTTAATTATTTTGTTGTACAGAAATTGTAGATTTTGAAAATTTTCACAATACTATATGTATCATTATATTTTTTACACAACACAATTTCCAAAATTTAAATTAAATTTAAATTTTAAATGATATAAAATTCTGACCATTAATTTATTTATGGTATATGCCTGTATAGAGCTAAAATAACTTATAGGTCAATAACAATAATAATACATGAAATTATAATCTTATAATTATTATACAATATATAGAATGTTTTTGGTAAAAATAACTCAACCCACAAATAATCATATAAGTATTTAAAAAAATATCCTTTTAGAATTTAGAAATAAAGACTATAGGTAAAACGATTCTGCTCAGAATTGTTTTTGGGTTGAAATAATTTATGATTGAATACAAATTTAATACCTCCATTAAAAACTTACAATAACCTACTTAATAACGAGATACACTTGGGGCTTACCATGTAGTTGGAGGTTTTCATTTTTATTATCATTGTTAAAAATAACTGTATAAGTAATTTAATATAATAATAATTTCACAAGAAAGAAATTTTTGTATAGAAAAAACCATGACTTTTTATATTGTTGATAGATATCTATAATTATAAATTTGTATAGGTAATTATGATGTAGAAAATTTCAAGTTCAAATGTTAAATAATTGTTTGCGAAATCATTTGAAAAATTGTATTTATAATAGATTGCTTTATTACATATTATAAAATAAATATGCTTTTAATTAATTTAATATAAACTCTTATGATACATGGACTATAATAAAAATACAATTTTAAAATAAATTTAAGTACAGGAAAAAGTTTGTTCACTTTTGAATTAGGAGATATATCGTACCTATACGTACTTTTTTTTTAATAATTATAAGAGCTTAATGCCTGCATTTAATAGAGTTATTCTCTCATAATTTGGGGACTATATCATATAGAGATGGTTGGAAGCATTGAGGTATAACTTTTCAACAAATTTTATAATTTCCTGAAGTAACTAATTTTATTATTGCAGATGGTTATTATTAGGCTTACAATTAAGTAGGGAAAGTATGATACCTACTGGCTACTATAGGGAGTTTTAATTTCTGCATGGTTTAATGTTAATTTAAATTTTTTTACATGAAGTGAAGTTGTGAAAATAGGGATGCCGACTCGGAATAATGTAACAAGCTTAGATTTTTAACTTAAGATTTCATCGTTATTCTAAATATAAGTAGGTAGTTATGTTATTTGGTTCTATAATTTAAATAACTATAATTTTATACTCTTTTTCAACTATATATACGAGTATATATAATATATATGTCTTTATAAATAAATCTATATTATAATATATATTGTATATTAACAATATTTTAATTTTTTATACAGGTAGTTTTGTTAAATAGGTACCTAAATAAAGTTGCTGTTCTATTTTAGCGTTAGTATAAAATAATACGAATTACATTTTTTTTTTTTTTTTTTTAATAATAATTTTAAGAAATTTATGTTTTTATAACGTAGTTGCTCATTTCATGCATGTATACTTCATACATACAGATGTATTGAAAATTGACTATCTATTCGTATCATATATTATGTCGTTGGAGTGTCGAACACAACTTAATCTTAATCATTGTAATTTAATTATTTAGATACATAGTAAAATTGTGTACACATTACTTATTTATTATTTTTTTTTTTCTGTCTAATATAAATCACTATGATGCTGGACTATAATATACTATAGTTAAAAAATTGAAGAGGAAATATTTTTCTTGTTTTGTCTTCGTCTTATTAATATATTACATAGCATATTTTACGTTCAATAAAATAAATTAGACTGTTATTTTTAGTATTAGAGTAAATTGACCTATTACAAATTTTTAAAGTAAATATATATATATTATCTAGAGCCTTATTTAGAAATGTTATGATACATTAATTTTGAAGCAAACTATGAACATTTTACAATTCTACATTTTTGAGCGTAAGTTTAAGACATAGTCAACATATGTGACTAAAACATACTTTGAACTTAGGTATAAGCATGTTTTCATTTACTAACATAATAATACATTAGTTAATATTTTGTTTTCAAGAATAATATCTAGTCTAAATTTAAAAAAATCGATTTTAAAAGTAATAGTAAAAACTAATTTAAAAATTGTAAAATTAATTTAATAAAACTGCTCATATGATGACTACTATACCTATAGAACAAAATTTGTGAAATATAATAAATAAATCAATAGATGTTTATAATTTAAAAAATATTATACGGGTAGAAGCTGATAGTTTTTAAACAACAGCAAATTGCCGGAAACTATATATATTTAATTTTAAGGTTTGTTTATTTTTTCAAAAGAGTTAAAATCAATTGTTTTACATTTCTGTATTGTTTTGTTGATATATTATTTCTTATGAATTTATTTATATACAATCGCATTAATCATACCTACTTATTACATGATAAATATTAATTTATATTAATTAGCTTTGTTAGACGACCACGTATGTAATAGCTGTCGCTATAATTGTATTTTATAGCAACATTTTTGTATAGATCGCAAGTATTTATAATATTATATACTATATATTGATTATATCTATAAAGTATAGGCTATATCTACCTATATAATAAATACAATGAATTTATAATAACTGAAGTTGGTAACTGACATCTGAGTTACTGCTGCACCAATCTCACTTACCTACATATATACATTATACATATCTTACTTAGATATACTTGTTTATATTAATATACCTACATAATAATATATACCTGTTTACCTAAGTTAAACCTGCCGCAATATTGGAATTTATTATCAATATTTTTTTGGACGGTGTAAGCACCTAATATAATGTAGCTTGCATATACATAAACATATTATACGCATACACGTTAAAGGGTCACAAACTTATATGTGGGTGGAAGTTGGTGGCGAAGGGTGTATATTGGGGCGGTGTATGGGCGTGGTATCGCGACTACTCGCCATTTATTCGGCACGCCTCGGTATGTTGGATACTTGTAAGTTGATTCTGCCAGTCTCTGCAGTTGCGTCCCGGCGTCGACTCGGGTTTGTTTGCTCACGTCTCAACTAGTAGTGCAGTATGTAAACATAAGTGTTTATTAATAATAATATTAATAACGAACTCAAAACATCGTACTCGCGACGTACGGTCATTATATCCAGCGATGGATCATCATCACCATCATTATCAACTGAATCATCATGGTGCAAGTCATCATTATCACGCACCACCGTACACGAGAGATTATTTCCTGTACGAGTATTCGTCCGGTTCTGAGTCCGATGGCACAAGCTCATTGAACAGCGACTGCGATTCCGGCAATTGCGGTAAGTGTAGCTATAAATAATTTAGTATTAAATTTAAGAATGTGTCAATGCAAAATTTGTTTTTTCTCAAGAGTGAAATATATTGTGAGGCGTAAAATAAATAAACCAGACAATACATTTTTTAATTTTATACAATATTTAATATTTTTAATATGTTGCTTATTTAATTCACTTGGTATTAAACTATATTACTGAGAATTTGAGACTTGAATTAATAATAAAAATAATAATTATTATTCATTTTAAATTATGAATAATTAAAATTAAATACCTAACTGGATTTTTTCTTAATTTTATATTCACAAAATCTTTAGTTACATTTAAAATAAATTTATCTTAAACTATCATCACACTCTGATTTTATTCTTATAAGTCGATTAAATCTGTCTCTATCCATATAAATGCTCAATATATTATAAATTAGAAAATTAACTTTCATTGTTTTACTACCACAAACAATTCGTTGTTTGTAATCGACCGTCGCGGTCGTGTTAACAACAATTTTTCTATATGACCCCTGAACCCTGATTAAATATTTAAAAACTCCATCCGATAATAATAAATATTGTTACGACTTACGATTGACACTTTTTCCAAGTTATTTTTTATAGTGTTCATATTCACCGAAAAAATCAAGATAATTTGTTACTTGTTATTTTGCCTGCATGTGTCTTGATAACAGTAGGTACCAAAAAATCTATAATTTTTTTCAGTGAAAATTTAATTTTAAATACAAAAATTAAGTTCCATAGGTATTATACATTATTATAGAGGTATTTAAAGTTAATATTAATTTTATTTTTATTTATACGACTGTGGGGTCCTTGGACTGTAGCCTACTCAGCCCCTCTTAAATCTAACCTTAATTTTTAATTTTAATAGTTTAGAGTTAAAAATTTAATACAACATTGTTCAAAAATTGAAAAAGAAATTATGACGCGAAACTACATTTATTTTTTAAATTTGTTTGAAGTTAAAGTTGACAAAATTGGACATTCAAACGTAAAATAACTATTTATGATTAAATAATTTTTGTTGGTCTTTTTTAAAAATGTATTTGGCTTTGGCATATTATATTTTCTAGTTGATTCGGGTCGCAAGAAGAGTTCGCGATGTCACAGGCAAAAGACGCAGCAGAGGCAAGCAGCGAACTTGCGCGAACGGCGACGCATGCAGAGTATCAACGAAGCGTTCGAAGGGCTTCGTGCACACATACCCACATTGCCGTATGAGAAGCGCTTGTCTAAAGTGGACACACTGAAGTTAGCCATTGGTTACATAAACTTCCTATCCGAGTTGACTCGTGGCACAGGACCGACAGGAAATGGCGTGACGTCTTTGAACGTGGCCAAACTTACAACAATCGCCGGTCGCTTACATAGGCCACCGGCACAGGTCAAGGAACAACCCGTTAAGAAGTTTATTGTCAGAGGTAATATAAACAAAAATTAAATTTTAAATTTTAATGCACTGATAGAACTAGCACATCGAATTATACTTTTAAGTTTTCAACTTAAATTATTTAGGTACTTATTATCTATAGTACATAGGTAACATAGGTTACTGGAAATTTTGACAATTTAGGCAGTGATGACAATATTCCTTATACGGGAAAGAAATAATATCATTACTTAGGAATTGTCATTATTTAAGTAATTTTTTAGGCAATGTTATCACGCATGTTTGGTTATTCTACAGTTCGTTTATAGACTATAGTTGAGTATCAATTGGTCCACCGATAGATGAAATTAGTTCTTTTAAATCTGAGGAAGTTGTTGAATGTATTTTGAAATTAGAGAATTATAAAAAAGTAAAAAAAAAAACAAACCGTGTTAAATTTGATATGAAAAAAAAAATTAAATAATATTACTAATGTAATTGATAAAAAAAATAAAATAAATAAAAAAATTGGTTAAAGATTAGGGCGATTATATGAAATAAATTAATATTTAAAATATATAAATTTAATTAAAATGTTTAATAAAAAATTAAACTAAATATTTTTTTTTACTATATTTTAATAATTTACCATCTTCTTCTTAGTACCGTATAGTATGACTGTTATATGTTTCATTGCCTGCTATTATTAGAAAATATAAATAATAACATGACAACTTCCACCTTTTATTAGAAATTGTCAACATTTATACTACATATATGTATAAATTTAATACTTATCACTATAGTGGTACAGTGGAATTTTACTGTACGTTACTATAATGTTTAATTTAACTCTTTTTCTTCTTCACAATTCATCTAAAAATCATTTTTTTAATACTAGAATACTTAAGTATAACAAATTTGTTCAATATAAAAATATCTTATACAGGGTCGAATTTAGGGGGAACCAAGGGAGCCCGGGCCCCGAGCCTACACAAAATGAGGACCTTACACTTGGAATATTTTTGCATCCAAGTATAAAACACAAATACACAATATAATATTTGTAAAATATATTTAAATCATAACTTGAATAAAAAATTTCAATCATTGATATTATCATAAATTTATAAATAAATTTTATTATTAATAACTGTAATAATATATTATATATTATAAATGCATAAAAGTGAGTAGCGAGTTTACAAATATAAATTTAAAATTGATTATTATGGACTAGTAGAGTAGGATAAACCCTATAATAATATTGGTACCTAATTTAGCATGGTTTTAAATTTTGATAAAAACAATCATATTACCTATTATTATTTTGATAATTAAATTTAACTATTTTTAAATTTTAGGCACTTTCTAATAAAATATTGTTTTGCGGTAAATTTAAATTTATTATTGAATTAACTTATAATATAACAATATTAAACATAATATGTGTAATTGAAAAATAATATCTACTTCTAAGAGTTAGACCAAGGCCCTTACATTCCTTAATCTCTGTTATGTACACTGTTTTATAAAAGTATACGTATTGTATTGATTATTGTTAAATATTATGGGTAATGGTTAACAATTATGGAAAAACAGGAATTATAGTAGGTAATTAGCAATTACACATTATTATTTTTGGATAAAATCTATTTGGTTTTTTTTTAATTAAAAAATAAATATCTAACAACCTAACCATAAAGACTTAAAAATACATGAATATTGGTAGGCATTATAATATGAATTTTTAGTTATCAAACTTTCATAATAATTTGAATTTATTGTTCTATTTGAAGATTTTTTAATTTTTTTTATTAATTTTTCGATCTACATATGTTATTACATCAAAAGCTTAAATACTTAATTTTGACTCACTGTTATATTTTTACAAATAATAACGATTTTCCATCTCATAGTTTTAGTCATTACATATGTCGTAATTTAGAAAAAAATTAACCGTAAGGTTATATAGGGACATGAAACTTTTCATTATTATGAAGTACATATAAATTAAAAAAAAAAAAAATAATGTAGAACTCAAAATATTTAGACCAATTATAAGTTAATGCCTATTTATACCATGCATCTATATTTACACTGTTCTATGCTGTAGGTAATTTTAATTTATTTTTTATTAATTTTTTATTAATTTATTATTCAAATTACAATATTATGCATAAGTGGTATCGACTTACAGCTACGTAGTACGTTCTACATTGTAACTATCTATATTGATATCATGAAATATTGAAATGGAAACCTAAAGTAGGTAATATAAAATGGAAATTTTTAAATTTCAGGTGCGTTCGGAACTCCATATTCATTACATTCATTGTCTTGGTCAAGGGCAAAAGAAAATTGTCCAAACAGTGCAGGAGTAATGCGGGCAAAGTTATGGAGGCCTGAAGTAGGGTCACCGCGTAATTCTGGATCTACTTCAACTTCAACGAGTTCGACATCATCAAGTAAAATCTAATCACTCAACATCAACATAATAAATAAGACCACTAGCTACGATTATGATTTATAGCTTAAAAGTTATAAATTATAGAATACTAGTGATACATATAATATATATATATTATGTCTAAATTCAGTTCTTATTCCTATTTAAAATGGTTTATTTTAATATTAACTATATTTTTTTTTTGTGAAGGTACCTACTTGTTTTATTATTGTTTAATGTTGTTAGTTTTTTTTAATTAGTAATTTTAATCATTCATATTTAAAGTATAATAATACATTATAACTCTATTATTCCTATTGTATGATTTACTAGCAATATAGTATGGTAATTTTAATATGCGTAATAAAGAGTTATTATATTATATTATAACCAACAAACTGCATTAAGCTGGAGATGTTCTCTTATGCTATATAAGCAAATTTATTGTTTTATGGCTATATATACCTGTATCGATATAACTACCCACTAACTACTTGTTACAACTTAATCATTTAGGTATTTTATGTTTTTTTTTCGCGGAAGCAATGCGAAAGCATTCCTGCGCCGTCGTCTCTTCAAAAACAAAAAAAAAGTATTTTATGTTTAAAAATATTTTTTCTTTCACAATTATTCATAATAGTTATAACTTAGAATAATCCGTTACAAATTGAGTCGCAATAAAAATATTCATCTATGATTATTACAGGATTTTGCAGAATAACTGGGTACCTAATTACTAATTATCAATATAATATTATAATATACGAGAATCGTGGGTGTACTTGTATAATGCAAAGTGCTGACTGCGCAGTGCACAATAAAAAATAGTCTTTATATTTTGTTTATAAAGTGTTTTCTATAAAAAGGAAATTAAAGCGTAATACATTTTTTTTATTGTTTTAACTTTACCTCAGTCATCCTTCAAAAAAAAAAAAAATTCTAGCCACGACTTGCATGGTACTAAATTAATAAAATATATAGATAGAAATGTAGAACAACTCAAATTTTCTCGTCTCGCTTGCAAATAAGTTTTCGTGGCCACTGTATCTATAATTATATAGTAATGAGTAATACACCATCGATCACCAAATAACAGAACAATAAGAAAAAACATGTGAAGTAATTAGGTATCTATTCCATGTAGTAAGTTTCCAGTTAACATATCCATTTAGTAGATTGGTAAAGGATGTATTAAATTTTACCGAGCATATTTAAATATCAAAAATTTCAAATTCTATAAATAGCTCAAAAAGAGTTTAGTAAGTATTTTGAAAATTATAAAACCATAAATATATTTACCTATAACCTATATAACGACTTTTGTTAGTAATAATTATGATAATTCAATTGTTGGTGAATAACTTTCAAATAGGTACGCTAGAAATGCCTTAATGGAATGTACTTAACTGCCAGAAATAATGATATTGAAATTGAAAATAAAGCAATTAAAGTTGTTACCTACCTACTGTTTAAAAGGTGATGATGAAAACAAAAAGTAAAAAAGATGACAAGTATTAGTAATTACAAAAATAATAGTAATAAATAGATTAAATAGTGAACCTACCTATTACCTACCTATCGTGGAGTGTGATACTCGATCGAAGCCTGATTTCTTTAGAGAAATGATTACAATAATATTTAAAGTGATATCACTGATATCTAATATTAATACATGTATGTATAGCACGAAAGCGTTATTTTAAAACACAACATTTATAAATTATAATAATAGGTGATGTTTTAAAACAGCGGTTCTTAACTTGTGGTCCGCGGCCCCCTGAGGATCCGCGGCAGCCTTACCACCTAACATAAGTTAATACGTGACATGAGTGCATTATTACAATATTTATGGATTATTGTTTTTGTTTCATATAAAATTATAATCTTATATTGTCTGTGACGGCGGGTCAATATAAAATAGTTATTATAATTTTGGTTATGATAAATTGATATGTTTTGTAAAAAAAGGTATTTGACAAAAAATTGGTAGGGGGGTCCGCGATTTCTAAAAATATTTCATCGGGGGTCCGTGTTTTACAAGAGGTTAAGAACCGCTGTTTTAAAATATTTCATAATTTACTGAATAAAATTCAATTAATACATCACAAATGACAAGTATCTATATTATTTTTTTTATGGTCAGGTTTAATACTTTGGTTTAGTCGTATGCGACCGTCACGCATACTGGTGAGCAAATAATACTATGATATCAATGGATGAAATGTTGTGATTTTCTTCGTGAGAATGACCGATAACTCTGATAAAAGATAGTGCAAAAAGAAAAAATACTCGTCCCGTGATCTTATCTATCTAATATTATAATCATTGAATCATGGTTTATGATTATGAGTATTCATCACATTATAAACCATTTATTATTTAAATAGTAAATATCATTAAATTTAATTATTCAAATGAAAATTTAAATTTTAATATTTTCAAGTATAAAATTACTTAGGTGTAAAACTTTTCGAGTTCCTAGTTCAATCAGTTAGAAGTTTGTTACTATTCTAATCATATTAATGTCTATATTATTTTAATTTTGTGGTTTAACTTAGTAAGAAATTAAGAATATGGCTGAATTAGTGTTGGACATCAACATTCGAGGTTGGGTGTTCTTACCAATTGTATTGATTACATTCCTTGTCGGTGTTATTCGACATTATGTGTCATTGTTGATCACGTCTCAGAAAAAAGTTGAACTGACACAAGTACAGGATAGTCAAGTATTAATTAGATCACGCATGTTACGTGAAAATGGCAGATATATATCTAAACAAGGATTCTACATGCGTCGTCATTACTTTAATAATGAAGAGAATGGTTACTTCAAGACACAAAAACGAGCAGCTCCTGCTCAAACAGCTATGCCTGATCCAAGTATGATGACAGAAATGTTGAAAGGCAACGTAACCAATGTTTTGCCAATGGTAGTTATTGGTGGTTGGATCAATTGGATGTTCTCAGGGTTTGTCACTACTAAAGTCCCATTTCCCTTAACTCTGCGTTTCAAACCAATGTTGCAAAGAGGTAATTTGTGTAATTTGTTCTTTTAGTACAAGTTTTAATATTTTCTTTTTTTAGGTATTGAATTAGTTTCATTAGATGCAGCTTGGGTATCATCTGCTTCATGGTATTTTTTGAATGTATTTGGGCTTCGTAGTATATATGCATTAGTTTTGGGTGAAAATAATGCTGCAGATCAGTCACGTTTGATGCAAGATCAAATGTCCGGTGCTGCAATGTCAATGCCCATGGATCCAAAAGTAGCTTTTAAAGCAGAATGGGAAGCATTAGAAATTAGCTCCCATAAATGGGCCCTTGCAGATCTCGACAATGAAGTGCTTAATGTATTATTGAATAAAAGTATTAAGTAACAATTTGAGCTCTGAAGTGAACACAATTTTACTATTCCAAGTAAGATGTATAAAGAAAATAATATAATTGTTTTTCTTTTTAAATTAAAATTTAATTAATTTTTTTGTGTAACTCATCAGTAGCATTTATGTATTTAATTTTGGTTTTGCATTGATTAAATTTATAATTAAAATAAATCTTTTTATTGATTAATGTAATTATTTTTCTTATGTGGTAGTGTGATATCATATTTTTGCCTAACACACTTTTGTTTTTTATAGTCAACTTTTGAGGTTAATCTACCTGTATTTGATATTTAGTTAATGATTTCTTAAATAGTTCATTTTTACTTCAATGTTTTTTATATTTATTTTGAAAGTTAAGTTATTAAATATTTTTTTAATCTATCAATAATCCTCAACATATTATACACACCATTTATTAAACAATACTTACTATAATATATATAAGAGTATATTGTAGTAATTATGTTATATACAATAAATTACATTTATATTTGGTTAAATATATTTGTTAGTTATTATGGATTATGACACTGCCACACTGGAAAGTACTATTTAAAAACAATATAAGTAACTAGTCACTTAGTAAATAGAGATTTATATTATATGTAATAAGTTATACAGTAGTCTAGTTATGATATGTAATAGTATAACTTCATAGACTAATATAAGTTACATTTTAAATTATTTTTTTCTTTTGCGATAAATACAATTTGTAAGGGTGTTTTATTGTTGAATTATTCTATTCATAATATAAAAAGTGAGCTTGATTCAAAGAAAGAAATATCCATTAATACACTGCTTGAAAAGTACTATTCATTTACATTTAGATCAAATTAATACAAAAATGACGAAAAGACTACAGTTTAAGATTATTTAAATTATATATGTCATTTTTGATTTGTTTTGGGAAGAGTAAAACTTAGAATAATAAAATCTGGGACATTTAACTAAATATTGTATTCTAATATAGGTGTGGTTTAAATTTTTAATAAATTCTTATTAGTTATTAAAATTGATTGTCTATTTCTTGAAAAAAATAAAAATACACCATTGTAAAAATGAAAACATAGTAATACTTACATTTTATTAATATTTATTAGCAATAATGTAAAAGGTATTAAGATATGTTATGAAAATTACATATATGCAAACAATAGTGCTTGTTTAGTTGACATTTGCTCTAAAAGTATTAGTTCACCACTTCTTTCTTTTGTATTTTTGATGTATGAGGTAACCTAACCAAGGAAGGTACTAAGTGAAGAAATTTGAGAAAGAATATTTCCTAAAATTCTGTCTGAGAGTTTCATTTATAGACTGTACAAACTATGATTGTTACTGTTAAGTACGTAGTTAAAATAGATTGTTGAATACTATGATGGATTTGCCAGCAATCAGATATTATTGTTTATCTGATACGTGTATGTCCATAAATTATTAGTAATAAGTATACTCTGTTCAAAATAAGATCAGAACTGAATTGTCGAATTATGTGCATGGATATGGCTTTGATAAGTAATATTTGATCTTTGCCTGAAGAAACTAGTCACTTGTTGGTACTAATTTCATCTTGAACAGAGTATACTAATAATATATTTTCCAATCCATCAGTTATTTCTACACATATGACAAAACACTATTGTTTGTTTATAATACAGAACACCAAATATCCATCGACGAGAAATGAGTAGTATTGAATACAGTTTGAGCGTGTAAACTAAACAAGTATAAGAATATTTTAAGTAAAAATTAGATTTAAATCCAC